AAAGGTAATGCCAAAGAATTGCACAATTGCACTCATCTCACATGTTAGTAAAGTAATGCTCAAAATTCTCCAAGCCAGGCTTCAGCAATACATGAACCATGAACTTCCAGATGTTCAAGCTGGTTTTAGAAAAAGCAGAGGAACCAGAGATCAAATTGCCAACATCCGCTGGATTATCAAAAACACAAGAGAGTTCCAGAAAAACATCTATTTCTGCTTTACTGACTATGCCAAAGCCTTTGACTGTGTGGATCACAATAAACTGTGGAAAATTCTTAAAGAGATGGGAATACCAGACCACCTGACCTGCCGCTTGAGAAACCTATATGCAGGTCAGGAAGCAACAGTTAGAACTGGACATGGAAGAACAGACTGGTTCCAAATAGGAAAAGGAGTATGTCAGGCTGTATATTGTCACCCTGCTTATTTAACTTATATACAGAGTACATCATGAGAAACGCTTGGCTGGGTGAAGCACAAGCTGGAATCAAGATTGCCGGGAGAAATATCAATAATCTCAAATATGCAGATGACACCACCCTTGTGGCAGAAAGCAAAGAGGAACTAAAGAGCCTCTTGATGAAAGTGAAAGAGGAGAGTGAAAAAGTTGGCTTAAAGCTCAACATTCAGAAAACTAAGATCATGGCATCCGGTCCCATCACTTCATGGGAAATAGATGGGGAAACAGTGGAATCAGTGGCTGACTTTATTTTTTGGGCTCCAAAATCACTGCAGATGGTGGCTGCAGCCATGAAATTAAAAGACGCTTACTCCTTGGAAGGAAAGTTATGACCAACCTAGACAGCATATTAAAAAGCAGAGATAGGCTACAGTCCACAGGGTTGCAAAGAGTCAGACACGACTGAAGCAACTTAGCAGGCGCAGTGAGAGAAAAAGTCCTTGTCTGCAGCATTTGCCAATTTCTGTGGCATAAATAATCTCATGGACAATTTTAAGCTACCTATGTGACATCACAGAACAGAGTTGGAAAAAGATGCGGAGTAGCTTACCCTTACATAATATTTTCGTTGTACAGATGCAATAGTGATAAATAATCTCTAGAGCTTAGATAACAATAAAATGCAATAAAATATTAGGAAGTGAAAAAAAATAAAAAATAAAAAGCAGAGACATTACTTTGTCAACAAAGGTCCATCTAGTCAAGGCTATGGTTTTTCCAGTGGTCATGTATGGATGTGAGAGTTGGACTATAAAGAAAGCTGAGCGCCGAAGAATTGATGCCTTTTTTTTTTTTTCCTGGTACTGTTAGACTTGTTAGATCATGTGTATGGAGTACTCTGGTTTGGATGGAATGAAAAGAAGTGAGGAAAGGAAGCAGTAAATCCAGGATTCTCTGGCTTTTCATCAGGAGGGCTGAGGACGATGCCCCTTGATGAAATCATACTGATAGGGGAAATTGAGCCATTTGAAGGGGCTCCCAGTGAGGAGACTGATCCCTCCTGTAGTGGGATGGTGGATCCCACCAGGAAAATTTTGTTGTCAGGTCTACCCTGCTTTGGAGGCTCTGAAAGTGAAAGTCGCTCAGTCATATCCGACTCCTTGCGACCCCATGGACTGTAGCCTACCAGGCTCCTCCATCCATGGAATTTTCCAGGCAAGAGTACTGGAGTGGGTTGCCATCTCCTTCTCCAGAATTGATGCTTTTGAACTGTGGTGTTGGAGAAGAGTCTTGAGAGTCCCTTGGACTGCAAGGAGATCCAACCAGTCCATCCTAAAGGAGATCAGTCCTGGGTGTTCATTGGAAGGACTGATGTTGAAGTTGAAACTCCAATACTTTGGCCACATCATGCAAAGAGCTGACTCGTTTGAAAAGACCCTGATGCTGGGAAAGATTGAGGGCAGGAGGAGAAGGGGACGAAACAGAGGATGAGGTGGTTGGATGGCATCACCGACTCAATGGACATGGGTTTGGGTGGACTCTGGGAGTTGGTGATGGACGGGGAGGCCTGGCGTGCTGCAGGCCATGGGGTCGCAAAGAGTCGGACACGACTGAGCGACTGGACTGAACTGAACTGAACTTGTTGATGCTGGGAGGACAATGGTCTTCATGGCTGAGTAGGTATTCCTGCTGATGGCAGAAGTCTTGATGCCCAGTAGGGCCCCGTGGGGCTCCCAGGCACAAAGGCCTTTTTGTCCCCCATTTCTTATAGGCAAGACTCCATGACATTCCCTGTGTTCCAAACAGCAGATTCTAATAGTTGCTAATCAGGGAAGGAGCAGCCATGGAGCCACCCGAGGCAAGATTAAGGGGCCAGAGAGGCTCATTCAGGTTAGGAGAATGCTACCTTGGTGGCTCAGATGGTAAAGCGTCTGCCCGCAGTTTGGGAGACCTGGGTCGACCCCCGGGTCGGGAAGATCCCCTGGAGAAGGAAATGGCAACCCACTCCAGTACCCTTGCCTAGGAAAATTCCATGGATGGAGGAGCCTGGTGGGCTACAGTCCAAGGGGTCGCAGAGTCCGACCTGACTGAGCGACCTCACTCACCCTCCCTTCTGAAACTGCAGAAGGAAGAATGCGAGACTATTCCCGCCCTGGCCCTTATCACATAGCCCTTTGTTGTTGCTGTTAAATGCTTCATTCTGTCAGACTCTCTGCAGCTCATTGGGCCGCAGCCTTCCAGGCTCCCCCGGCCTTCGCTATCTCCATTGGTTTGCTCACACTCCTGTCCGTCGAGTCGGTGATGCTGTCCAACCATCTCATCCTCTGTCATCCTCTTCTCCTCTTGCCTTCAGTCTTTCCCAGCATCAGGGTTTTTCCAGTGACTCAGCTCTTTGCATCAGGTGGCCAAAGTATTGGAGTTTGAGCTTCAGCATCAGTCCTTCCAATGAATATTCAGGGTTGATCTCCTTTAGGATGGACTGATTGAATCTCCTTGCTGTCCAAGGGACTCTCAAGAGTCTTCTCCAGCACCACAATTTGAAAATACCAATTCTTCAGCACTCGGCCTTCTTTATGGTCCAACTCTCATATCCATACATGACTACTAGAAAAACCATAATTTTGACTATAGGGACCTTTGGCAGCAAAGTGATGGCTCTGCTTTTTAATATGCTGTCTAGGTTTGTCATAGCTTTTCTTTCAAGGAACAAGCATCTTTTAATTCCATGGCTGCAGTGACTGTATTCAGTGATTTTGTTGTTTTTGTTCAGTTGCTCAGTTGTGTCCGACTCTCTGTGATCTCATGGACTGCAGCACTTTAGGATTCCCAGTCCTTCACCATCTCCTGGAGTTTGTTCAATTTGCTTATGTCCATTCAGTCAGTGATGCCATCCGACCATCTCATCCTGTGTTGCCCCCTCCTCTTCTTGCCCTCAGTCTTCCCCAGCGTCAGGGTCTTTTTCAGTGAGTTTGCTCTTCACAAACTCGTTGGCCATCTCTGATCTCTGGTGGCCCAGGTGTTGGAGCTTCATTTTCTTGGAGTCCAAGAAAATTAAATCTGTCACTGCTTCCACTTTTCCCCTTCTATTTGCCATGAAGTGATGTGATAGGATAGGATGCCACGATCTTTGTTTTCTTAATGTTGAGTTTCAAAATGGCTTTTTCAGTCTCCTCTTTTACCCTCATCAAGAGGCTCTTTAGTTCCTCTTTACTTTCTGCCATAAGGGTGGTGTATGCGTAAGATAAAGACAAAGTTGCCCACCCCCAAATCCTGTCAGTTACAAGAGGGATTGGATTCAGACTGGGGTTCTGGCAGATGGAACAAGTCAAGGTCACTTGTTTAGATCGCTATCCTATGGGTCTCGCAGAATCAGACCTGAGCGACTAACACTGACAAGTCAAGTTCCAAATTAGCCAACCTTTCGTTTTGTCTTAGGATAGGAATTGTGTTTCCTTGGTGGCTCAGAATCTGCCTGCTGCGATTCAGGAGGCCAGAGTCCAATCCCTGGGTCGGGAAGATCCCCCGGAGAAGGGACTGGTGGGATTTGCATTTTAAAAGAAGGCCTAGATAAGGGTTCCTGGAAAGGACCGAGTAGAACATTTACATCTGAAAGACAGAGGAGGAGAAAAGCAAGTCTCTCCCAAGAAGACTTTGATCCCTTAAGACCAGACCTATTTTTTTTTTTTTTTACTCTGTCTGGCCATAAAATAGAAATTTTATTTCATCATTTCCAGGAGTCAGAATCAAGTCTGGAAGGGCTCTCTCTGGAGAGGAATCAGTTTTCCACCAAACCACATGTGGTTCCCCGCCCCTGTGTGGGTCCCCTACAGGGCCTTGGTGTGCTGACCCCAGGGAGGGCTACACAGACTGACTCCACCTGCGGGGAGTTCTTCCTGGTCCCCATCCTCCTCCTCCATCTCCTGGACTGAAAGGTGAGTGAGTGACTGTGTGTGTGTGTTCACGCTCTGTCATTTCCGACTCTTTGCAACGCCAAGGACTATAGCACGCCAGACTCCTCTGTCCACGGGATTGCCCAGGCAAGAATACTGGAGCAGGTTGCCATTTCCTCCTCCAGGGGATCTTCCTGACCCAGGGATGAAACCCATGTCTCTGGAGATTCTAGCATTTGCAGGCAGGTTCTTTACCACTAGTGCCCCCTGGGAAGCCGGGACTGCCGCGGGTGGGCTCTATCTAGCCCCGGAGGGGGTCCCCTCGGGCTTCTGGACAGTGTGAGTGGACCGGCTGGGGTCTCTGCCTGCCCCGCCTTCCAGGGAAGAAGACTCCAAAGGCATGGTCTATACATAGTGCTGGGTCAGCTGGAGCGCCAGGGCCCGTGGGGAGGGCCACCCGCCCTCTGCTTTGGGGGTCCTCGGGCTCCACCGTCGCTGAGGCCCATGGTCTGTGCCACATGTCACAGCGACTCAAAACGCCCTGGGCCACTGGGGCCGCTGGAACCTATCCCTAGTACCTCCCCCCTTGGGGGCCTGCCCCCCCACTCCCCGGCGGGGACAGGTACAGGCCCGACCCTGCGGCGAGTGCCCGCCCCCCAGGCCCCGCCCCGCCGGCCCGCCCGGTCCCCTCGGAGCCCTGGGTGGCCGGCATGGCGCGCGCGTCGGGGCCCGAGCGGCGGCTCCTGGCCGTCTACACCGGCGGCACCATCGGCATGCGGAGCGAGCACGGCGGTGAGTGGGGCGGGCGCCCGGCTCGGGGCGCGGGGCGGGGTGGGGATCGTGCTCCCGCCGGCAGGCCTTTGACCCGTCCTGACCCCCGCTCCGGTGGGCTCCCAGCGCCTCCCCCTCGCTGCCGCCGCTCCTCTCGGGCAGAGCCCCGGGGGGGCTGTGGCTCCCGTGGGACCCCCATCCCTGCGCAGATGGGCTGGTGGGCCGGTGTTCAAGGGCTGTCCGAGCCTCTCACTCGGGACACCAGCGGCTGCCGGGAGACCGCGGCCGCTCCCGGCTGTCCCCGTCTGGCCCGTGCGCGGGGCAGGGGCGCCCGCCAACTCTGGGCAGAGCTCACTGGCACCAGGATTCTGGGCGGTGGGCGTTCCCTGTCCCCTGCCCCAGGGCGCTGACGGGATTTGGGCCAGGGAGGGGTGACTGTTGGGTGGGGGAGAGCCTGGGGTGGGCGCCGGGCCGCATGCCCCCAGGCTGGGCAGAGCGCTTTGGGCAGGAACCTGGTCCGGGGAGCCTGCAGGGGTGGGGCGGGCACCGCACGCACCCCCCGAGTGTTGCAGCGTGGCCTCCACGTGGGCCCCGGGTCCTCCAGGAGGGGCCCAGACAGCCCCTCAGCCCTGCTCTGGAGTCCCGTCCTGTACTCTGGAGCGGGGGCGCTGGCCCTCCTCCGCCTCTGTCCCTCCAGGCCCCCTCCCCAGCCCTCCGCAGCTCCTGCGCCCCCAGGCCCCCCGCGGGCCTCACTCGGGCTGCCCCGCCCTGGCCCTGGGGTGGCCTCCTACTCGGAGCTCTCCCAGCTCCCCAGGGCCCTCCTCCTGCCTTGGAACCAGCTGTGTCCCCCCCACGACCCCCAGGGCTAACAGAACATCCTCCACGGCCCCCCACCGCCACGCGGTTCCCCTGAAGCAGCCACTCAGATGCCGTGAGCCCTTTCTCACGCCAGCAACTGCTTCCTGTCCTCTGTCCCTGTTAATGCCCCCCTCCCCCGCCAGTTCACAGATGTCTCCAGGGCCCGGCCATGCTGGGCCCCAGGGCTCAGACCCCCAGAGAGCCCTGTCCTGGGGGGCTTTCCACATCCCTTCTACCCTGGGGGTCTCTCCTCCTGGACCGCAGGGCTGGGGCAGAGAGAGGGGAGCGGGCGTCCTCAGATGGCCCTGACGCATCCCGGTCGCTGCCCACCCCCCCAGGCTTGGCACTGGGCCAGCTGTGATGCCTGTGATTCCATTGAGCTCAGCTCATAGGTGTTAAGGGTCTGGGCTGCAGGGACTAGGGGGACTCTGACCGTGACCCCATATGCACTGCGTTGTGTGCCCCCCATCACCGCCCCCTGCCACCTGGACGCCCCCTGGCTCACTCCCACAGGCCCTGCATTTGCCAAGGAGCTTGCAAACCCCCTTGTTTCGAAGGGGTTCTAAAAAGATGGAGTGTGGTAGGCAGTGACCTCCAGGCAGGCTGGTCTCCCAAGATCCCGCAGGGCAGTGCCCCTGGGCTGGGAGTGAGCCACCTGGGGCCGGGGAAGAAGGGCAAAGAGGGTGTGCGGAGGACGCAGGCCTGGCCCATGGGGACCCTGCTCTGAGCCCTGCTGGAGGCCAGGGCCGCCCAGCCACTCCAGGCCCTGCCTGCCTGGGGATTCCCGGTCGCAGGGTCAATGATTAACCGCCCTGGCTCTGCGGGTGTGGTCGCCGGCTCCCGCGAGGGCGGTGAGGGGCCGGCTTGGTTGTTTGAATTCTCACTGTTGGGAGCATTTTTGCGCCTGCTGGTAAAGTGACCTGCCGGGCAAGCAGGGCCTTGCATGCGAGCCCTGCCAAAGGTCAGGATGCTGAGGGGAGGGCTAGGCCGTGGCGGCTGGGGACGCTTGCCCGCCCCCTCTCTGAGCTCAGAGATGATGTTACAGGTCAAGGGGTGTCGTGAACCCGAGATCAGTCGATGACGGCAAGCCCAGGGTCAGGCAGCACCCCGGCCGGAGACCCCGCTGCCCTGTGTGACCCCCGTGGGCCCGGCTCCCGGCGGGCGGAGCCTCGGGGTCCGCAGGGGCCAGGACGTCCCAGGAGGCTACAGGAGGGCCTGGCAGCCAAGCCTCGTCCTGAGAGGGGATGCCCACGGCTTCTCCTGCCCTCGGCCTGGACGCCCTTCACGGAACAGGCTGTCACGCGCTGCTCCCTGTCCTGGGGGCAGACTGGCCCTTATGGGGGAATGTGTCTGTGGGGCCGCTGTGACCAGCTCCCCGTCTGCACTGCAGGGAGCCGAGGCCTCATGCGGCCGCTTCTGCTTGTGGAGGGCCTGAAGCTTGGGGGCCCTCGTTAAGAAAAAGAATCCAGTTTACAAAATCAGAATTAGATATGAAAGCAGATGTTGGCTTATTAGTTGTTTTGTCTTTGCTGCACTGCGAGGCAGGTGGGATCTTAGTCCCCCGACTGGAGTTGAACCCGCGCCGCCTGCAGGGGAAGCCTTAACCTTTGGACAGCAAGGGAAGTTTCCCAACCCCCTCCCTGCCTTTTTTTTTTTTTTTTTTTGGTAACAGGTGTTTACTTAGATTGATGAAGGAAATAACAAACTCCCTGTTCTTAAAAGTCAATAATATTACAAAATCCACAAAAATATTTTTTGTTTGTTGACTTCCTGACACTCTCTCACCACCGTTTTCCCCACATTTTTGGCTGCTTTGAATAATGATGTGTCGGCAGAGTTTTGCCCCCGAACAGAATGGAAGCAGAGTGTGGCCGCCTCTTGGGCTGGCTCTGCCCGTCCGCCTACCCACTCACCAGGCGGGGCCACCAGGCCCGTGGCCCTGGGGTGGGATGTTCCCGGAAGTCGGGGGCCCCCCCGCGCCCACACACCCCCCCGCCCCTGCTCCCACCAGCAGTGGCCTGGCTCTGGGGTGGCAGTGAGCATGCACACCACCCGCCCTGTCAGTGGATCCGCAGATTTCCACGGCCACTCCCCCAAGGCCACCCACCGCAGGGGAGCTGGTGCAGACAGTGGCGGGGGAGCCTCCTGCACCGGCCCTGACCCGGGGCGGCAAACCAGGGCCTCAGGCAGCAGGAGGCCCTCTGGAGACCTCCCCCACCAGGGCTCTGTCCTTCCTCCGCCCTCCCCTCTGAGTGTGGAGCCCGCTCACAAGGATGCGGGTGGAAGCCAGGAGCCAGCGTCATCTCCTGAAGTCACGCCTCTCAGGTCCTGGGGCTCAGGCGGGGACATCCGCGGGCCTTCTTGTCCCCTGCTGCAGCGGGGTGGGCGGCCCTGGGCCTCCGTCAATGCCCAGGTCTGAAGTCAGGGCTCCCAGCAGCAGGGCTGGCGAGTCCAGCACTTTGTGCAGGCAGCCGCGTGTCCCGGCCACCCTCCAGCATCTTGGGAGGGAGGCCAGCCGAGCAGTCTCGCACTAATGTTCCCTGAGCCATGTTGCTTCTGCAGCAAAGTGTATGGAGCCCCCACCGGGGCTTCCTGGGTGGAAGAGGGGGTGGCTATTCAGGGTGCCCTCTTCCCTGAGGTATCCTTCTCTGGCTGGGGAGATGGCACCCTGAACTCTGAGGCTGTGCTCCCTGCGGGGCTGGTGGGAGCTGGGTCTGGGGTTTAGCGGGTGGACGTGTGGAGGGGGCGCTGGGGCAGGAAGCCCACCCTGCCACCCAGAGCCTGCAGCTTCTGGCCCATGAACATTGCTGCTTTGGTTCCCTGGGTTTGTGCTGATTTGTTCCTTGGAGGGCGAGGCACGGGGAAGCTGAGCCCTGCCCCGATCTGCAGGGTGGGGACAGGGGCATCAGTGAGCTGGGGGCGGGGCGGAGGGTCTGATGCTGGGCCCACGACCCCAGGGAAAGGAGCGCGTGGCCGGATTCACATCTGGGGAGAGATCCTGGCCGCCAGCCTGAGGAGGAGACGCATGCCTAAGAAGGCTCCGGGGTGGGGGGCGGGGTGAGGCTGGGTTGGCGGGGTGAGGCTGGGGGGCGGGGGCGGGACGGCTGTTGGGCTCCGCTGAGGGAGGAGAGGAGGCAGGGTGAGATCAGAGAGATTCAGAGTGTGAGGACCCACCAGCTGTCGCGGGGGTCCCCCGGCCGGGGGTGTGGGTAGCCCCTAGGCTGGGAAGGGTCATGGTGGCATGAAAGCTGGCATGAAGCTGAGTTCTGCCAGCCGCCAGGTAAGCCTGGACTGGACCTGCTCCAGCACCTCCAGGAAGAGTGCGCCGCGGATGCCCGAACCCACTCCACACCCCACCTCCAGACTGAGACAATGAAGGGTGCTGTTTAAGCCTCTAAGCCCGGGGCAGCTTGTTACACGGCAGCAGGAGGCTGATACACCTGGCAGAGGGCGAAGGCTGGGAACAAGATTGCCGCCCAGGTGCCCACTGCCGCTGGCCCTGGAGGTCTTGTGTGTTTCAGCCAAAGAAGCTTCTCTGGAATGGGGCGGGGGGAGCATGTTGTACCTGCTGCTGCGGCTGGGTGTCCAGCATGGCCAGGCACGTGGGCAATGCCCAGCAGAACCTCAGTGAGGAGGAGTCAGCCGACCTGCCTCAGGTCACGGAGCTCGCAGGGAGCAGGATGGGACAAAAATCTAGGGCCCGGATGCAGAGGTTCTTCTGGGAGCCTTTGCTGAGGAAGTTGTTTGTCTCCAGGAAACACTTGGGACTTCGTGAGCTTTTCTTAGAAGGTGTGCCGTTTCTGCCTAGTGCCTCCTCAGATGCGTGCTTATGGCTGGGGAAGGAGAAAGGGTAACTGGGTGTGTGTGGCAAGGGCACCAGGACCTGGACATCAAGGAGCGCTTCCTGGAGGTGGTGCCCTGCACGGGGGGGAAGCATCTGCTGGGTGAGAAGGGGGACGGGGCAGGGGACATCAGGCAGAGTCAACGGGGCGTCCCTGGGCAGAGTGGTGCGGATGTTCTGGGAAGTCGGGGAGAGGAGTGGTGTGTGTGTGTGTTGTGAGGGGACCGGGGCGCCCTGAGCCTTGCTGGGGCCGTGGGCTCATCCGGAGGTGGAGGTGTTAGCCAGGAAGTGGCCAGAGCCCCTGGCAGACCCCTGGGCTGTCTGGGGGAGAGCCAGGGTCCAGGCCCCGGGCGGCTGTCCACACTTGCCAGGGCCCTGGGTTGGCTGCAGACCTGAGCACCCAGTCTGACTGCGCAGGGCCAGAGCTCACCTGCAGTGCCCAGCCCCATCCTGCCTGGGGCCCAGCACCCAGTGAGGAGCGGGGGGCCCTGGTGGTGGGTGCCAGCCCCTGACCCTCCGCCCACCCTGCCCACAGTGCTCGTGCCCGGGAGGGACCTGGCCGCGGTTCTGAGGATGTTGCCCATGTTCCACGACGAGGAGCACGCCCGGGCCCGCGGCTTCCCCGAGGACACCCTGGTGCTGCCGTGAGTGGGCGCTCCCCGGGGTCCCTGGCATGGACGATGGCCGGCTGTCACGGGGTGGGGGGGGGGCACCCTGAGACGGGCACCTGCCAGGCCGGCGGACCGGCTGTGGCTTCTCAGGGTGTCCACAGCGAGCTGCTGGAGGGTGCCGCCCCCACGCCCCCCCACTTTGGTGGCACTGGAACTGACCGCAGGCCCCTTTAAAGTCCGTCAGGACAGGCAGGGGCTGGCCCGAGGGCCCCCCCACCCCCGGGAAGGTCCTGCTCCCCAGGTCGGGGCCCAGGCTTCCTGGTGGTCTTCCCTGGCGGTCGGTGGGGCAGGGGCTGCCCTCCTGGCCACTGACCCGTCCTGGCAGCGACCCCCCTCCTGGGGGTATCCTGGTTCACTTCCTGCCATGGAGCAGCGCTCCCGGGACCATGGTCGTTGTTCCTGCAGCCTCAAGCAGAAGGGGGCTGTGGAGGTGCAGGGCCCGAGGCCACGTTCCTGGGTGCCCGACTGGGTGGAGGGGAGGGGGCCTCTGACGGAGGGGGCGCTGAGCGCGAGCCTGCCCTCCGCCTCCTGCAGGCCGGCCAGCCCCGACCAGAGGGTCGTGTACACGGTGCTGGAGTGCCAGCCGCTCTTTGACTCCAGCGACATGACCATCACCGAGTGGGTTCAGATTGCCCAGACCATCGAGGTGACCAGGGAGCCTGGGGAGGGCTGGGGGGGTTGTGGGCGGAGGGGGTCTGGCGGTGGAGGTGGGGCTGGGAGGAGGCTGATGAGGGGTCACACCTCAGCAGCATGGCTCCCACCACCCTCTCTCCTGCACCCTGGGTTGGGGGGGGGCATCAAGGACCACGTCCACTTTTCCGGTGAGGAAATGGCCCAGGTGGCCGTCTCACTTTGAACACTTAGCTTGTCCCAGTCTGTGTCCTGGGCGGAGACTGAGACACCTCTCTGCAGACTGACCACCCCACGCCTGGTCCACCCCGCACCCACCCTGGAGTGCAGTCTTAGTGGGTTTAGGGCTCGTGGTTTAGAGCACTGAGTGGCCGTCTCTCCTGCAGCCAGAGCCCCTCATCGCCACCAGTGCCGGCTCCAGCTACTGCCTCCCGGGGTGGGGGCCTCCCAGCCCATTTCTCACCTTCCCCCGTTAAGAAACCCTGCTCCCCAGAGAGGGGCTTATCACTGAGCCACCCTTTCTGGCAGCTGGGGGCTGGCCCCAGCGGCCCCAGGCCTGGCCCCTGTCTCTGGATGTATGCAGCTGTGTCTGGGGCAGTCTCCCTAGTCTCTGGCCAGCAGCACCCACAGCTGGGGCCTGACGGCTTTTCTGAGCACCCAGGACCGCTGTCCAGTCCAGTGCAGTCGTTCAGTCGTGTCTGACTCTTTGCAACCCCATGGACTGCAGCATGCCAGGCTTCCCTGTCCATCACCAAGAGCTTGCTCAGACTCAAGTCCATTGAGTCGGTGATACCATCCAACCATCTCATCTTCTGTTGTCCCCTTCTCCTCCTGCCCTCAATCTTTCCCAGCATCAGGGTCTTTTCCAATGAGTCAGTTCTTTGCATCAGGTCGCCAAAGTATTTGCATCAGGTCGCCAAAGTATTGGAGCTTCAGCTTCAGCATCAGTCCTTCCAGTGAATGTTCAGGACTGATTTCCTTGAGGATGGACTGGTTGGCTCTCCTTGCACTCCAAGGGACTCTCAAGAGTCTTCTACCACAGTTCAAAAGCATCAATTCTTTGTCCTGCTGGCCAGCCACGTGCAAATTCGCGGTGTGGCCGGCAGAGGGCGGCCCAGTCCACCACGTGGCTCCGCTTCCCTGCAGCTCTGAGCCCCGCCTGGCTTGGTCTATCAATGGGCCTCAAGAGAGGTCCTAGGGCCCCATGGTTCCTGGGCTGTGCCCCTCGCAACCACAGCCCAGGCCAACTGCCCCCTGAGGCCTTGGCTGCTCCTGCGGAGGCGGTGGTTGGGGGGTGTCCTTGCAGAGCTGGCCTGTGTGCCAGGGGGGCCTTCTGACTCCCTGGAGGGGCCGTCCCCATGCCTGCTGTCCGCACCCTGCCCACCTCCGACCTCTCATCTCCCAGCACAGGCTGTGCCTCCTGCCTGTTGCTTCTGTGCATGCCCGGCCCTCCCGCTGGACCGAGTGGCTGGTGGGCTTCCTTGCCCCACGGCCCCTGCTGCCCCCCGGGGCAGTGGTCGTTCAGCAAGGGCTCTCCAGAGCACTGAGCTTGTCCCGGCGCCGTCGTCCAGCTGACGGTGTCCTCAGGAGTCCAGGTCGGGCGTCGCGTGGGGAATCTTCCCACCCCAGGACCAAAGTGCCCGGAAACCCCCGCCAAGCTCTCCTGGGGCCGCAGGTGTCACTGGGAGGCCCCAGGGTCTCAGGGGAGGAGGCTGTCCTGCGAGGGAGCAGGGCACAGGGACAGGGCCCCCTCCCTGCGGGCCTCCCCGGCTGGCAGTGACCGAGGCCCGCCCGCGCGTCCCCGAGTCCCGCCAGCCGCGTGTGGGGGGCACCAGCGCCTGCCCCCAGGTGCTGGGCCCCTGAGCTGGCCGCCGCCCCTGCAGAGCCGCTATGGGCAGTATGACGGCTTTGTGGTCATCCACGGCACCGACACCATGGCCTTCGCCGCCTCTGTGCTCTCCTTCGTGCTGGAGAACCTGCAGAAAACCGTCATCCTCACCGGGGCCCAGGTACCTCCCCGGGCGCCTGCTGGGCAGAGGCCACAGGGCAGCTGAGAGGGCAGGCGGGTCCCCGGCGCCTGGCCCGGTCCTGCAGGTCCTGGGGCTCTGCTCGGCCAGTGCCCGGTCAGTGCCTGGATCCTGCCCGCTGCCAGCCTGCTGCCCTGCTCTGCCTCCTCTCCGCTGCGCTGGCCCCGGTGGGATGCCCCTGCTGTAACCAGGGCAAATGAGGCGCAGAGGCCAGGCAGCTGGCGCACGTCCACGGGCCTTATGAGCACCCAGGACTGTGGCTCAGCCCAGGGCGGTTCCATTGGAGGCCCTGGGGGACTCCTCCCCAGCCGACCCCTCTGCCCACGCCATGGCAGGCCAGCCCTTTCCTGCCTTCCTGGGTAGCGGTGGGGGAGCTGGGTGCGGGTCAGTCACCGCTGGGGCATCAGCCCAGGTCTGTGACCCTGCACTCGGAGGCCCCGCCTGAAGCTCCTTGCCCTCCCTCGCACCTGCGGTCGGCCCCCGCTCCCCTCTGCCTGCCCGACCCAGGCACGGGCTTGGGCAGCATGACAGCAGGGCCTCGCTGCCCTGGGGGCCAGGGAGCTGGGCTGGGCAGCGACGGGTCCCAGGGCGTCGTGTGCTCCCCGCAGCGTGGGGACTGGCCGGCCCCCGGCAAGGGGCCCTGGGGGCCTGGGGGGAGCAGAGGGGGCTGGGGCCCGGGCCGGAAAAGTGCGGTCAGTAGGGGCTGGCCCCCAGCGGCAGCGTCCACCGGCCTGAGCTGCCCCCGCCTCTCCCCAGGTGCCCATCCACGCCCTGTGGAACGACGGCCGGGAGAACCTGCTGGGCGCCCTGTTGCTGGCCGGCCAGTACGTGATCCCCGAGGTACCGCCTCCTCCTGCAGGCGGGGCGGGGCTGGGGCTGGGGCTGGGCTCCAGTGCCGCGTGGGGACGGGCACCTGCCTGCCCAGGATGGGGAGGGGGGTGGCAGCGTTAAAGCGCAGTCTTTTACCTTGAACGTGACCTACACCCTCACCGTAGAGAAAATGAGAAAGCAGCAGGCAGCGGGAGCCTGTGCCTGCGTCCCACCCCAGACACCTGCAGCTGGCGGCGCGGGCGCACAGAGACATTTCCCAGACCCTCCCTCACATCTCAGGGGAGGAGAGGAGCCCTGCGGGGCGGGCTCACCATGGGGAGGGGCTTCACGAGTGCCATTCGGAGCCCCCGCCCCAGGAACAGCTCCAGAGCGGGGTGGGGGTCCTGGTGGGTGAGGAGAAGCTGGGGGGCAGCCCGGGCTCCCCAGCGCTGAGCTACGCGCCCCCCTCCCCGCCCCGCAGGTCTGCCTGTTCTTCCAAAATCAGCTGTTTCGGGGCAACCGGGTGACCAAAGTGGACGCGCGCAGGTTCGCGGCCTTCTGCTCCCCCAACCTGCCGCCTCTGGCCACCGTGGGCGCTGACGTCACGAGTAAGCGAGCAGGCCCCCCCCCCCGGGTGGGGGCGTCGGCCCAGGGGGTCGTGTCCCGCAGTAGCTGCTGTGGATGCCCCTGGGTGGGGGAGCGCGGCTCTCAGATCTGCGGAGAACCCGGGGGTGGGGGCCACTCAAAGTGGGAATGCCCCTCACGTCACCCCAGCTCACAGCCAGGCCATGTGTGGGGGGTCAGCCTCTCGGGTGCCCCTCCCCAGGCACATGGCCCCAGGCCCCGGAGTCCTGCAGTGGCCTCGCGGGGACGTGGCTCCGGTGGGGTGAACTGTCCTGGGGACTTTCAGGGGAGTCTCTGTGCCCCAGCTCCCCTCCTGGGGCTGTCTGATGCCTCCAGCTGCTGGTTGGTCCTGAGATCTCCCCCTCGAGGCCCCCCCACGCTTGCCCTGGGAGGAGAGGACCTCTGCCAGGGGGCCGTGGGCCGCAGCGGGCGGGGCGGGAGGAGACCACGGGGTCAGAACTGCACACCGAGAGGGAAGAACCATGCAGGGAGGTGCTGTGGCCCTGAGTCCTGAGTTCATTCCGGGGTCTTAGCCTGCACTTCCCTCCACCTGCCCAGCCATCCTGCTTGTCTACATGCCCTGGAGGGTGGGGAGGCCCAGGACACATCAGTGTATCTGAGGTGTGTGTAGCACGGCCGGGGTCTGGGGGTCAGACAGGGGGCATGTGCTTGCTGAGAGTGAGAGTCAGGAAGGCTTCCTGGAGGAGGTGGCGCATGGGCTGCTGGTGGTGGATGGATCTGCCTCCAGGCTGTGCTGAGTGGTGGCACTCAGCCCCTCCTGCCTCGGTGCCAGCCAGCTGAGGAAGGAAGAATGGGAACGAAGGTAGGGCAGCCACTATGCAGGCCTGCCTGCCCCACGGGGCTGAGTCACTCCTGGTCCGGGGCTCAGAGGGGAACTTCCGGGACGCAGCCGGCTCATGGGTGCAGAGGAGTTCACCCTGAGTCCCAGGCCCCTGCTGGGGCCACGCCAAGCCCACGCTGGCCTCGAGGCGCAGGGCACGCTGGTGCAAGTGGCTGTGCGGGTGAGTGGCTGACGCTGGCCCTGAGGGGCAAGACGTGCACCCCCCACGTCTGTGATCCCAGGAGGAGCGTGTCCTCCGGCCCGGGGGGAGGGTGCCCGTGTGGTGTCCAAGGCACCAGGCCCGTCCCGGTACCCAGTGCTGAGACGCACCAGGCTTTGCCTGGGGCATGCCCAGCAGAGTCCCTCACTGCTTCCTGCTGCATTTCCCATCCCTATGTGAGGCTGGGGCTCGGCAGGGGCTGAGATATGCCAGGAGGGGAGCACGGGGTACTGCCCCCCATGGTGGTTCCAACAACCCCCTGTCAAGTGTCTGTGGCATGTGCGGTCACCCGCGTCTCCAGGAGCCCCAGGTCCACTCCAGGCAGAAGCCCCTGCCCTGGGGAGGGGGAGTCAGGCCTCCAGGCTCCGGCAAGCAGGGGCCCAGTGGCTGCAGGGGACTCGGAACCACCATCCCCCAGTGCACCGGGTCCTGCCATAACCCTGAGGCCTCGGTCAGGACCAAGCGGGAGCCCGCCCGGCCGTGGTGGGCCTCCCTCCCCTCTCGGCCCCTCTACACGTGGGGGCAGCGTCTGTCTGTCGGAGTCTGGAAGGCCCAAGGGGAAGGACTCGAGTCCCGTGGGCTCTCGGGATGGGCAAGCTGTGTGGGGAGCGTGGGCCCTCTTTGTCTCCGCAAACCCTCCTCTGCAGTCAGAACTCCGGGCTGCCCGGCCCTAAAATAAAGAACACCGCTCCTGGCTGCTGCAACAGCCGCCCTCCACCCCTAGCTCTCCCCCAACACTCAGCTCCCTCCTCTCCCACCTCCCAGTGCCACCCCCCAGCTCCCTGTGACAGGGCAGCCGGTGTCTGGAATGTTCCTTGGTTTATTATCACATGACAATTACTTTTCATTTGCAAAGATGGGCACAATAAAGGACAGAAATGGTTGGGACCTAACAGAAGCAGAATATATTAAGAAGAGGTGGCAAGAATACACAGAAGAACTCTACAAAAAAGATCTTCATGACCCAGATAACCACGATGGTGTGATCACCCACCTAGAGCCAGACATCCTGGGATGTGAAGTCAAGTGGGCCTTAGGAAGCATCACTACAAACAAAGCTAGTGGAGGTGATGGAATTCCAGTTGAGTGATTTCAAATCCTAAAAGATGATTCTGTGAAAGTGTTGCACTCAATATGCCAGCAAATTTGGAAAACTCAGCAATGGCCACTGAGGACTGGAAAAGGTCAGTTTTCATTCCAATCACAAATAAAGGCAATGCCCCCAATGCTCAAAGTATAGCACAATTGCACTCATCTCACAAACTAGCAAAGTAATGCTCAAAATTCTCCAAGCCAGGCTTCAACAGTACATGAACCAAGAACTTGCACATGTTTGAGCTGGATTTAGAAAAGGCAGAGGAACCAGACCAAATTGCTAACATCCGCTGGATCATTGAAAAAGCAAGAGAGTTCCAGAAAAACATCTACTTCTGCTTTATTGATTATGCCAAAGCCTTTGACTATGTAGATCACAACAAACTGTGGAAGATTCTTCAAGAGATGGGAATACCAGACCACCTTACCTGCCTCCTGAGAAATCTGTATGCAGGTCAAGAAGCAACCGAACATGGAACAACGGACTGGTTCCAAATTGGGAAAGGAGTACATCAAGGCTGTATGTTGTCACCCTGCTTATTTAACTTATATGCAGAGTACATCATGAGAAACACTTGGCTAGGTGAAGCACAAGCTGGAATCAAGTTTTCCAGGAGAAATATCAATAACCTCAGATATGCAGATGACACCACTCTTATGGCAGAGATTGAAGAGGAACTAAAGAGCCTCTTGATGAAAGTGAAAGAGGAGAGTGAAAAAGCTGGCTTAAAACTCAGCATTCAAAAAACAAAAGATCATGGCATCTGGTTCTATCACTCCATGGCAAATAGATGGAGAAACAATGAAAACTGGCAGACTTTATTTTCTTGGGCTCCAAAATCACTGCAGATGGTGATTGCAGCCATAAAATTAAAAGACACTTACTTGTTCCTTGGAAGAAAAGCTATGACCAACCTAGAGAGCATATTAAAAAGCAGAGACATTACTTTGCTGACAAAAGTCCATCTAGTCAAAGCTATGGTTTTTTCTGTAGTCATGTGAGTTGGACCATAAAGAAAGCTGAGCGCTGAAGAATTAATGCTTTTGAACTGTGATGTTGGAGAAGACTCTTTAGAGTCCCTTGGACTGCAAGGAGATCTAGCCAGTCAATCCCAAAGGAAATCAGTCTTGAATATTCATTGGAAGGACTGATGCTGAAGCTGAAGTTCCAATACTTTGGCCACCTGATGTGAAGAACTGAGTCATTGGAAAAGACCCTGATGCTGGGAAAGATTGAAGGCGGGAGGAGAAGGGACGACAGAAGATGAGATGGTTGGATGGCATCACCGACTCAATGGACATGAGTTTGAGCAAGCTCCGGGAGTTGGTGATGGACAGGGAGGCCTCGCGTGCTGCAGTCCATGGGGTCACAAAGACTCGGACACGACTGAGCGACCAAACTGACTGAGCACTCCTCTGGTGGAAACAGCAGGAGGCAGGCAGGCTTATAGCCGCCACAGGAGGGGCTGTTGGAGGAGCCCTGGGCGGGGGTCCTGTAGCTCCCATTCCCCTCTGAGTTCTCCACCTGACTCTGGGCGGCCTCTCAAGCCCCTTCCCCGTTCTGGGCCTCAGTTTCCCTGGGCCCAGGGAAGGGGTCTCCTTGGCACCTGCTCCCTCAACAGACTCTCGAGGGGTCTTGGCACCCACCCTCTGCCCACTTGAGGGGCCAAGAAGATGGGACTCTGGCTCAGCGCCATGCTCCTGAGGGTCAAAGGCCAGGCCTGCTGCCCAGACCTCTGCCCCCTGCCCCCTGCCCCCTGCCCATGGGTGCAGCAGGAGGGCTGGGAGGCTCTGGCCATGCAGTCCCTACAGAGCAGTCACCTCTCTGCCCAAAGAGAGCCTGATGGCCTGGGTGTTCTCTGATTGGCGGGCACTGACCCCCAGGCACTGCCCCTCCACGCTCCTTGGGGCTCAGGAGCCAGAAATCCGCCCTGGGTGCTGGGAGCAGGCCGGGCTTACGTTGCCCCTGAGACTTTGGAGTGAATGAGACGGAGGTTTCCCCAGAGGTGAGGGATCCGGAAGACTGATTCACTCGTTCATTTAAGGATCTGCTGGGCTCGGGGCCCGGCGGGTGCCCCGCCAGGGACCTGTGAGTCTCGCTGGTCGGAGGCTGCTGCCCCAACTGCTCATCGGACCCGGGACCCAGGCTCCTGGGGCCCTGCGCGCTGCCCTCTCCTGGGAGGCCCTTCCTCCGCCCCCCTCGCCCCCTCCCCTGCAGGGTCCTCCTCACCCCCTGGATCCCATGCCCGCCACCGGGCTGCCTCCGGCTGGGTTGCACCCGTCACCTGAGCGAGCTGAGGCGGGCAGGGGAGCAGGTTTCAGAGGGGCCAAGGGAGGCGGGGTCTGGGGAGGCGGGGCCCGGCCGTGGCCCCAGACGGCCTAAAGTCTGCTCTTCGTCCGTCTGTCCCCGCAGTCAACCAGGAGCTGGTGCGCAGGGTCCGTGGGCAGGGCCGGCTGGTGGTGCACAGCAGCATGGAGCGGGACGTGGGCCTGCTGCGCCTCTACCCGGGGATCCCCGCCTCCCTGGTGGGACCCGCCTCCCTGGTGGGACCCCGCCTCCCTGCTGGGGCCCCGCCTCCCTGCTGGGGCCCCGCCTCCCTGGTGGGGCCCCCCCCCCCACCTCCCTGGTAGGGACCCCGCCTCCCTGGTAGGACCCCTGCCTCCCTGCTGGGGCCCCACCTCCCTGCTGGGGCCCCGCCTCCCTGGTGGGACCCCGCCTCCCTGGTAGGGCCCCGCCTCCCTGGTGGGCCCCGCCTCCCTGGTGGGCCCCGCCTCCCTGCTGGGGCCCCGCCTCCCTGGTGGGACCCCCCCCCTCCCTGGTAGGGACCCCGCCTCCCTGGTAGAGACCCCCCCCCGCCTCCCTGGTAGGGACCCCGCATCCCTGGTAGGACTCCTGCCTCCCTGCTGGGGCCCCGCCTCCCTGGTAGAGACCCCCGCCTCCCTGGTAGGGCCCCGCCTCCCTGGTGGGACCCCCGCTTCCCTGGTAGGGACCCCCGTTTCCTTATAGGACCCTGCCTCCTTGGTAGTGACCCCCGCTTCCCTGGTAGGACCCCCACCTCCCAGGTAGGGACGCCAGGGCTTCGCTCCATGGGGGCTATTGGGCCGTCAGGGCAGGCCTTGCAGGTGGCCAGCGTCATCCAGCAATGGGTCCCAGACTCCAGTCTGCTGGTTCCTAGGTGGCTGCTAGGAACAGGTGAGCTTTCACTTTGGGGCTTCTACCTGGAGAGGCGGAGGGAGCTGATGGCAGTTCTGATGAGGGCTGAAGGCTCTGGGAAGACTCTTGAGAGTCCCTTGGACTGCAAGGAGATCCAACCAGTCCATCCTAAAGGAAATCAGTCCTGAATATTCATTGGAAGGACTGATGCTGAAGCTGAAGCTCCAATATCTTGGACACCTGATGGGAAGAGCCGACTCACTGGAAAAGACCCTGATGCTGGGAAAGAGTGAAGGCGGGAGGAGAAGGGGACGACAGAGGGTGAGATGGCTGGATGGCATCATCGACTCGATGGACATGAGTTTGAACAAGCTCTGGGAGTTGGTGAAGGATAGGGAAGCCTGGCATTCTGCAGTCCATGAGGTCGCGAAGAATCAGACATGGTTGAGCGACTGGGCTGAACTGAAGGCTCTGATGGGGGCACAGCCTGAGCGGTGGATCCTCACACAGGCCAGCAGCTCGGCCTCAGCGGCGCCCTGAGCTCTGTGCTCAGCCGCAGGGCCCGTCCCCTTCTGCCGGCTCACTGGGAGCAGCACCTGTCGTGTGTCAGAGCTTCGGGCCAGACGGAGGGGTCAGGAGGGCGGTGGGCGGCCCAGCTGGGGTGGGGGCCCTGCCCTTGGTGAGGCCCCTGACGGCCCTTTCTCATGTCCGGCAAGCTCCCTGTGACCGCTGACCCATCTCCAGTTTTAACGGCCCTAACGCTCAGAAGGGGACAGGGGTCGCTCGGGGAGGATGTAGTGGGGAGCAAGGTGGGCAGTCCCCGCTGCCTGGGGGCCAGCCTGTCAGTCCCCGTGTTTGGTGGAAGCAAGTCCCCGAACCCCTGACTCCCGCCCCCACAGGTCCGGGCCTTCTTGCAGCCCCCCATGAAGGGCGTGGTCATGGAGACCTTCGGCTCTGGGAATGGGCCCACCAAGCCCGACCTGCTTCAGGAGCTGCGGGCAGCGGCCGAGCGCGGCCTGGTCATCGTCAACTGCACCCACTGCCTCCAGGGTGCCGTCACCTCCGACTATGGAGCCGGCGTGGTGGGCGCGGGGGCGCTGGGGCCTGGGGCGCGGCAGGGGCGAGCCCTGGCCTCCCACCTCCTTCACGGTCCACCCGCGTCCCCGCCCCTCCAGGCCTTGAGCGGAGCCGGGACCGTGTCAGGCTTCGACATGACCTCCGAGGCGGCGCTGGCCAAGCTGTCCTACGTGCTGGGCCTGCCGGGGCTGAGCCTGGATGGCAGAAAGGAGGTGTGTGTGCCTCCGGCAGGGACCGCGCACCTCGGCCTGCGTGTGGCGGGTGGGCCCAGCCCGGGGGCTGTGTGCCTGGGCTTGGTGGGGGGCTAGAAGTGGCCCCCACGACCCGTCACCTCCCCCAAGCCCCACACCCCCACACTCTTTCTCGGGGAGCCCCAGGTCCGCCCTGCTCCCAGGGTGTCCCCGCCCCGGTGCTTCCCCGGCTGGCCCCTTGGGCTGTGCAGAGGCCACCAGGGCCCCGGGAGACCCTGAGCTGGAGGGTGGAGGATGGGCTGAGCTGCTGTGGGGAGCTGGCTGGGTCAGGCTCTGGGCTCCGGGACGGAGCCTGATGGAGGCATTTCAGGTCTGGGGGGACCCTCCCCTGGGGGCTGGGAGTGCCTGGCCCGCCTGGTGGGTCTGGACTGCTGGGTGCAGGCCCTGGAGAGCTGCCCGCCTCTCTCTGTGTGTCCCCCCTGCCCCGTGCACCTCAGCTGCTGGCCAGGGACCTGCGCGGGGAGATGACGCCGCCCGCCGTGGACGAGCCCCGGCCCTCTCTGCGGGGCAGTGCGCTGGGGCGCGGGGTCGCCCAGCTCCTCAGTCTGAGACAGGTGCAGCGTGGGCAGGGGGCCTGGGTGGCGGGGCCCAGGGGGACGGGAGCGGAACACCCCCAGACACAGCCGGGTTCTGGGCTGGGGGCGGGGGGCTGGCGGGGCTCAGGGCGGCAGCCGGGAGGGCTGGCAACAGACTCGCGGGCGGGCATCCAGAGGGGGCTGGGGGGTCCAGAGGGGCGCTTCCAGCGTGTACGCAGCGTGCAGACCGCGGCGCTTGCCTGGTGGGGCAACTCGGGGCCGGCAGGGTAGCCTGGAGCCCCAGTGCACATGGACACCATGGGTGCCTGGGCCCGGGAAGGGGCTGAGGGCTGGCTTTCGGGCCGGCTTTCGGGCCTGGGTTGTGGCTTCAAGCTGGGCCAGGCTCCCGGCAGTGGCTGGGACCTCCTTGACCCCCCTCACCCCCCTGCCTCTGGGCAAAGTGTCCAGATGCGGCATGGAGGCACCCCATCTGGCCGCTGCCCCGGGCCCACCATGTGCCTCAGTATCCCCCCTGCGGAGTGAGCGTGGGGCCTGGCCTGTCTGGGAGGGCGGTGAGGGCATGGGCAGTGGCCACGTGTGTACAGCGGAGGCCTTGGGGAGGGGGCAGGGGTCCGAGGTGTTGCTGCCCCCGCCCTCTGCAGGAGGCCGATGAGGTGTGGGACGCCCTGGTGCCCAGCCTGGCCTGTGCCGCAGCCTACGCGGGCGAGCTGGAGGCCCTGCAGGTGCTGGTAGAGCTGGTAGGTCTCTCGTCCACCTTCGGGGACCAGCCTGGCCACACAGGGCCCGGGGGTGGGCTGGATCGCCTTTCCCGGGGCCTGCTCCCCTCACTGCGGTCGACGGGGCCTCGTGGCTCTGCCTGCTGTCCCTTCCCCGTGGCCTCCCTGGCCCTCCCTGCCTTGTCTCGGTGGGTGACGGGCCCCTGCGTCCCCCCAGGGCAGTGACCGGAGCCTGGAGGACTTCAGCGGTCAGACCCCACTGCACGCGGCCGCCCGGGCCGGCCAGGCTGGGGCCGTCACCATGCTGCTGCAGAGAGGGCTGGACGTGAACGCCCGGGACAAGGGCGGCCTCAGCCCCCTGCTGCTGGCCGTGAGGGGCAGGTATTTGGCGGCGGGCACTGTGGTGGGGGTGCAGGCAGGGGTGCCGCCCAGGGCCGGGCCTGGATGGCGCTGCCTCCGGGGGGGCCTGTGGTCACACAGCTTCCCTGGGCAGAGCCGGGGAGCACCGAGGACACCTGCTTCCTGGAGCTTCGCCCCCTCCGGCCTGGGCCCTCGGTACCAGCAGTGACCCTGCCGGTCGTGGGCAGGGCCCAGACTGGGAGGACTGCTCGGGGCAGGATGCTTAGGGAGGGCTTCCTGGAGGTGGCCTCCAAGCTGAGCCCGCCGGGTCCAGCAAGACTCTGGCATGGAATTTCTGAAAAGAAAAGCAGAAGAGGTCTCATGTGTGTTCCCCGCATCCTCTGCCTGAGGGGCTGGGGCGGTGGTGAGGGGAGAAGCCCCCCCGCCCAGCACTGGGGTGAAGCAGGTGCAGGGCAGCTTGTATAGTGCCAAGTGGGCACAGGTGCCCTAGGGAGTGGACTCAGCATGTCTGATGTTCGGGGGTGGTCCCCCAAGCGGCCCCGTCCGACAAGTCCTGCCTTTTTAAGGCAGGTCCCCAACCTGAGTGTTCCTGGGGAGGCTCCCCCCCCGCCCCCCGCAGGTGGACACTTGCCGAGCCGAGTCCTTACTGAGGCCCTGGCACCCTGGGCCGTGGGTTTGGGCACCTGATGCCTAGTTCCTTCTGAGGGTCGGAGGGCACGGGCCACTCTGCAGCCAAGGCCAGGGGCCAGGGCCACCCAGCGGGGTCACCTGGCGAGCTCACCTGTGCTGCGGGACGGCCCCCGGCGGGGCTGGCTGTGTGAGAATTGACAGGAGCTGGGGGTTGCCCCCCAGGAGCCAGGGCCACGGGCGTGGAGGGGCAGGCAGCTGGCCAGCATGAGGGCGGAGGTGCAGGCATCCGGCGGGTGAGCACGCGTCTCGTGTCCTCTGCTGGGGGGGGGTCTCCTTGCCCCCCCGCAGGCCCGCCTGGCCTCTCTGAGGGTCAGCCTCGCCTGCTCTGCCGGCCCGTGGGGACTCCCAGCGGCCGGGCACGCGGGGGGCCTGGAGGCCGCCGGGCCCCTCCCTCTAGGGGCTCAGGTCCCTCGGAGGCCGGGGACTTGCCGGGAAGACCCGTGAGCGGGGCGGTGCTGCCCTGCCCTGCCCTCCCTCTGTCCAGCCGCGCAGAGCCGCGTCACGCACGCGTGTGCCGGCACACATGCTGGTGAACGCCTGTGTGAGTGTGTCTGGGAGCTTTCCTTCCGGTTCTTCCTCGCTGTTGATGAGTCGCTCGGTCGTGTCCGACGCTTGACGACCCCGTGCACTGCGCACGCACGGCTCCCCGCCCTTCACCCCCATCCTGCTCAGTACCCCCTTTCTGAGAGCTGAGTGCCGTGTGGCGTCTGCGCCAGGCCCCGGGTCCCTCCCCAGGGGCTCGTGGCCTGTGGGAACCTGGGTTGTTGCTGGGGATTTCCTGAGTCTCATGGAGAGTCCAAGCCACCAACCTCTTCAGGTCGGCCCTGGGCTGGGGTGCCTTGTGGCACCGCCCCCACCTTCCCAGGGGCATCAAAGCTTCTCAGAACAGGCCTGGCAGTGGGCAGAGGGGGCGGGGTGCCTGTGGGGTGTGCCTGCGGCACCCAGGCCAGGCTGATCTGGCTGCAGACTCCAGGCTGCTCGTCCTGGGGCGTGGGTGGGTAGCGCGGTGAGCTCACCCCATCCTGGCCCCACCCCCTCGTCCTGGCCGCTGTCACAACACCTCTCCCACCTCCCAAACCGGTCTCACCCCCCAGAGGCCCTGCTGTGCCCTGGTAGGGGGGCAGCCCCACCCTGGAAGGCTCTGGGCTGGCGGTGGGGGCCAGGCCTGCGGGACGCCCCCTCCTCCCCAGGTTCCTCAGAAGTGGGGTGACGGTGCAGTTGATGGTCCTCCCACAGCCCTGGGGAAGGGGCATGCGTCCCACTGTGGGGTCTTTGGGCTCTCTGTTCCCTGGCCTCTCCGAGCCCCACTCCCACCCTGCGAGCCCCATGGAGGCCCACGCCGCACGCGGGGCTCAGGCCAGGTGCCCCTGGATGCCCGTGGTCATCTGGGCCCCACTGTGGGCCAGCCTGCCCCCGCGTGCTTTGTTGGTATCTCCTCGCCACCCCACCCTCAAGGGCAGAGCGCGGGCCCAGTGGACTCGGCCTTTGCAGACTCGGCCCGAGCGTGTGTGAGCTCCACAAGGGTGGTCCGCAGGGTGGGCCTTCCGGTGCCCATAGCAGTGCCCTCAAGTGGGCCTGGGCCTTGAGCTGCTCGGCCCAGGCTAGGCCCCAGCGTGGGTCTGGGTGCGTCCGGCGAGGGTGGGCTCCCGGTCCTGGCCTGCTGGCGTCTGGCGGACGCTGCCACGGGCAGGCAGTCACCCTGCTCTTTCTCACGGCAGGCATCAGGGTGTCATTGGGCTGCTGCGGGCATCTGGGGCCTGCCTGTCCCCCCAGGAGCTGGAGGACTCGGGGACGGAGCTGTGCCGGTGAGGCTTGCGGGCACACCTGTGCTTTCTGGGCTGTGGGGGAGCCCGGGCTCCGAGAAGGAGACCAGCCCCGGGGAGGGATGTTGGGCTGGGAGGGGGCCATCTGCACCAGCTGGGCCCTTGGAGCCCTTGGGGGTCGGGGGTGGGCAGGCGGCCGCCCAGGGTCCTCCGCCCCCCTGCGCCCTCCCTGTGGGGCCGCTGCCCCGGTGCCCACCAGCTCCTGCTGTGTCCAGCCTGGAGCGCGAAGGGCTAGGCCCGAGGCCTCCAGGTAGGGAGGAAGTGAGGACGGTCATGGGGAAAGGGAGGTGGAGGCAGGACAGGCCGGGGCACTGGTGGAAGCCAGGCGGGGGTCTTGGAGCCGTGCTGAAGTCAGATCCTCCAGGGTGGGTCACGTCTCAGGCTGAGTAGCTGGTGGGGGCGGGGGGTGGCTGCCTGTTCATCAGGACGAGGGCCTGAAGCTCCGGCCCCTGGTCCCCACCGGCCAGCCTCTCCCCCGGCCCCCTGCCTTGGTTCCAGCGAGGTCTCACCCAGCCCGGGGGCCCCCATCCTGTACAGAGTGGGGTGCACAGACCCCACGGGCCCCCCGTCTCAGCCCTTCCCCTCTGGAGCTGAGTGTCCCCGAGGGGACGGATCCTGCTGGCTTTTCAGCAGTGACAGGGCTGGGGGTGTGCCCTGCGGTGACGGGACCCAGGCAGGAAGGGCTTGGCTCCGGAGGGACTCCTGGGGTGACCCAGCCCAGGGCTGCACCCCAGATGGGTCTCGACGGCTCCTCGATTGACAGCTGGGGAGGCAGGTGGAGGGGCAGTGACAGGTCGCACGGGACCAGGTGATCCAACCCAAGCTGCTTGGCTGGACATGGCGGGGGGCCCTTGACCAGCTCCCCGAGAGGCGAGGGTGTGTGGGAACCAGCGCGAGAGGCCTGGGGCCAGGTCTGAAGGCTGCTGGCGGTGCGTCAGCGTGATTCACCTTAGAGATGACCCCGTGCCCCGTGGGGGCTGCTGCTTCGGACTCCTGACTCAGAGGAAGTCCTGGGGGTCGGCCCTGCCCCCCCCCGCCCCCGCAGCCAGCCAGCACCCCTGGCGTGGACCCCGCCCCAGGGCTCCTGGTCCCAGGCTGGGGGACAGCCTCTGAAGGCAGGGGGAAGGGTGCGGGCCGCCCCTCGGTGCCCCCGCCTCTCCAGGGCAGGCAGGCCCAGACCCACTCCTGGTCAGCCTGCTGGTCCAGAGCCCCCCCACCCCGGGCCCCCGTGTGACCCTCTTTGCACCACGATGCCTCTGACTTTCCTCCCGCCCCCGGGGGCCCCCGCCCGGGAAGAGCTATATTGTGAAATATGAAACTGGCAGGCGGCGCTCAGCTGCTGGGGTGTTTGTGCACGTGCACGCGTGTGTGTGAATACCCTTGTGTGTGTGTGCACGTGTGTGTACCCTTGACCTGAGTCACAGCCACCCCCATGGGTGACACACCAGAGTCCAGGCTGCTGGCCGGCCCCGGGGACCCTGCTCGCTGCTGGGTCAGCTGTTGGGGGCTGGCTTTGTGAGAGAGCCCGTGGGCAGATGGCTGGGCGCCCAGGAGTCCCCATCGGCACCCCCTTCTCCCCTCCCCCTTCCAGGCTGGCGTCCAGGGCGGACTGCGAGGGCCTGCGGGCGTGGGGGCAGGCGGGGGCCGACCCGAGGCAGCCCGGGTATGACGGGCGCAGCGCGCTGCACGTTGTGAGTGCCCTGGCGCCCTCCCCGGGACCACCTCCTCCAGGAAGCCCTCCCTGACTGCGCCACCAGTTCCCCCCTTCCCAAAGGCCCAACTCCTGCCCTCCTTGCAGAGGCACTCTTGTGTGCGGGAACCGTGGTTGGGGAGGGGGCTGTCCCTTCCCCTGTCCCAGATCCCCCCCAGGGCCCAGAGCTGTGGGGACAAGGGGATGGAGGAGACATGGGGTCCTCGATGCATGGGTGGGAGCGCATCCTGGTGGGGGTTGGTGGGGTCCAGGGCCAGGCTGCTGGTCCCAGGGCCTGAGGCAGCCCCCCCGACACTCCCCACAGGCAGAGGCAGCTGGGAACCTGGAAGTGGTGGCCCTCCTGCAGAACCTTCGGGGTGGGCCTGGTGACCAGGCCCTGGGTGCAGTAAGACCCCTACCCGCTGTGGTCTGGCGCTGGTGGGGATGGTGTCCTGGGGGCAGGGTGGTTCAAAGCCTCTCCGGCGGGCGGGGCTCACCCTGTGAGGGGAGCTGCAGTGTCTGGACGGAGGGCTTCCCAGAGGGATGGCTGAGCTCAGACCCACGCTCCGTCCGGGCCAGGCCACCCCAAAGATCAGCCCCGGAGGCCTGGCCATGGCCAGGAAGCTCCCGAGCCTGGAGGGGCCCTGCTGGGCCCGCCCCGCCCAACCCGCACCCGCCCGGACCCCAGCACCCACTGGGCCGGGTGGACTGGGCTCCCAGCTGGCTCCCCGCTGGCTCCCCGCCCCCAGCGCGTCAGCTGGCCTTCTGGAAGCTTCTCCCTCTGGTTGGCTTTGCTCGGGTCCGTGGGTGCCTCCCTCATGAAAGGCTGGGCCCCACTGACAGGTGCCTGGGCTTGTCTGTCTGCCCTGCCCCTATGCAGTTCCTGGGCCTCCACTCCTTCTCCAGAGACCTCCCTTTCCAGGAAGTGCTGCCTGGGGTCTAACCTGAAGCTCTCCTGCTGCAGCGTGAGCTGTTCCTTCCTGTTGAGACCTGCTGGAGGGATGGTGCTGCCCGGCCCCCCCCCGACCCTGACCGTGCTGTGCACCCCCCGCCCCCCACCCTGCTGCGGGAGCCGCTTCCCATTCTGTGTCCAGGACGCAGCCTGGAGGACGTTGCTGGGGAGAGTGGCCATAAAGTCCCTCTGAGGACCGTTCCCCCCCAGCCTGGCTCCAGTGGGTCTGTCTGGTCCCGGGACCGTGGGGATGTGTGTGGGGTGTCAGGCCTCAGGCTCTGTGTCAAAGGGCAGTGTTTTCAGCACTCTGGGGGTGGGGGAGGCACTTCCCATCCTGCCTGAGGAGGTGGCAGGGTGAGGGAGTATGGACCCCGCTAGGGGTGGGCAGGCTGGGCCCTCTGCCCCAGGCCCTCCCTTCCCAGTCCTCGTCTGGGAGCTTGGGGTCACCCCTGCAGGCACACCCCACCCACATCCACTCTGCCGAGCGCTCCATGCAGACCATCTCCCGGGCCCTCCCGTCCGGCTTTCACGGGGCCTTCTGCCGTCCATGGGCCCCTTGGCCACGCTCACTCCAGGCCCATCCTGGGGAGGCAGAGAGGGCGGCCTGGGCCGGTCTTCACCGTGACAGCCTGGGTGGGAGGCAGCTCCCAGCCTGTGGGCCAGGCGGGGCGGGCCACGGTGGGGTGCGGCTCTCTGAGGCCCGGCCGGGGCTGAAGTCAGGTGACTGGACCTCAGGCCTCCTCTCTGGCCCTCTGTCTGGGGGGCCAAGGACGCACCCTCAATCCTGGAAGCGAGGCCTCGAGGAACCGTGGAGGCCACCCTGGCCTGCTCTAACTGCCCACATGGTCCGTGTGGGCCCTGGGCTGGGGCCTGAGGAAGCCGCTGGGCCCAGCCCGTGGGCACATGCTCTGTAGATTTGGAGCAAAAGTGTGACCCCAAAGAGCTCTCCCTTGGCACCCACCATGCAGCCTTCTCCCGGTGGGGCCGGGGGCGGCTCCACCCACACCCCCAGGCTTCTCAGCCTGGTTCCCAGGCTCAGGCTGGCACTGCGGCTGGCACCATTCCAGATCTCGCCCAGACAGGGGTGTGCCCGAGCCTTGCACAATTAGGTAACACCACGCGAGGAGCGTGGTGGGGCCCGGGGAGCCTCTGCCCCACACCCTAATAAAGGCCTAGGGGGTGGGGCTTGGGGGGCCCTGCGGTTGCCCGTGGGCTGGGACCCTCGGAAGGCGGGGGGGCGGGCAGCAGGACCACTGCACAGAAGCTTGGGCCGCCGGAGGCCCCCTTCCACGTCCCAGGGCTGCTGGCGCCCGGCACTCAGCTGCTCGCTTGAAGCAGCCACCACTTTGACTGCTTCCGAGGGGCCAGGAACGGCTCAGAGCCTTTGCTTCTCCCAGGCCCGGTGGAGCTGGGCTGTGAGAGCTGTGGTTGGACCCGCCTCCATCCCCAAGCAGGGGCCGCCCTGCCCCCTAGAAATGCCCAGGGAGCCCAGGGCCCCAGGGGGGGCCGCTGCGCGGGCTTCTCGCCAGGTGGGTCACTGAGGGCGGGGGTGAGGCTTCCGCCTGCGGGGAGGCTGCCCGCTGCCTTCTGCACTCCCGGTCCTGTGGAATGAGGGGGTCGCCCTGAGGGTCACCCACCTGGGGGCACCAGCCCACCTTCCCGATTTACAGCGAGAAACCAAGGCCCAGGCCTGTGCTCAGGGTCCCAGGCTGGCACGTGGCAGAGCTGGGCTACGAGCTCTCCTGGCACCTCTTGCGGGTGGTGGGAGGCGCGGGAGGGCGGGGTACCCGTGGGAGGCGCCCAGAGCCCCTCGGGGTCTCAGAACTGCGTGGCTCCTGTCGGTGATTTCACTGGGTGGGGCTCCGGCTCCTGACAGCGCTTCCCCAGTCACCACGATCTCTGCGTTATCGCAGGCCGACATTCACTGTCATTTAGGCCATTATCCACATTTACCCGGCGTCTGCCATCCCCAAACCAGGCTTGGCAGGCAGGGAAGCACCCCCTCCCCAGCGTGGCCCACACCTCAACACCTCCTGTCGCCGGCGGGGCCGCCAGGCTGCCACTTGTCACCGGCCCCCTCTGGTGCTGCAGCAGGCGGACGGAGGGGTCCGCCCTGGGCCGGCTGGTCCCAAGCTCCTTGTCTGGGTCACACGCACGTCTGTGCCCCCTTGCCCCCAGTTTCCGCTCAACCCCCACCCCCCACCCCACTGACACTCAGGCCTGTGGACTCAACAGAGACGCCAGACGTGGAGTCCCAGCTCCATTGTTTGACCTCTGAGAAGTCACGGCCTCTCTCTGAGCCTCAGTTTCCCTAACTGCAAGTGGAAACAGAGACCTCTGCCACTGCCTTCGCAGGGCAGGGCGGCAGGAAAACACACGCACGGCCTGCGTGAGAAGGCCCAGAGGGCCCGGCCAGCTTGGTGTTTGTGTCCTGGCCTGGGACCAGCCTGGGCTCCCGGGACAGAGGACAGTGTCCAGCTGGTGGCGTGGCCCTGGGGGCTGCCCTGGGCTCAGCCCAACGAGGATGACCACCGCCTGCTGCCCACCCACCCTGAGGACTTGAGGGGTCGCTTCCTGATTATCTCTTTCCTAAAGCTTGAGCTCCCCCACTAGCCCCCAATGGGCAGCTCTGCTGTAAGGGAGTCTCTGGAGGCTGGCTGGTGGGCCCCCCACCCTCCCCAGTGACTCAAGTGGTCAGGCGGGAGGGCAGGGGGGATGGGGGCGATGGGGGGAGGGGGCGGTGCTGGGGGTGGGGTGGGGGCCAGAGCGGTGTGTGCCAGGAGGGCCCGGGCTCTTGTGGGGTGTGGGGCAGAGCAGGGCGAGCACTCTGCCCTCCCCCACCCGCCCCGCACGGGGTGTGGTGTGTGGCGTCAGGATGAGGCCCCCCCCGACGTGAGCTCGGAGGAGGGCGGGCGTCCAGGCTGCCCTCCTTACGCTCTGGGAGGAGACCCACGGGGTCTGAGAACCAGAAACCTGCTTGCGCGTCCTCGCCCGCCCTCTAGTTTCACTTTCCTTTTGTTCCCTCCTCCCCCTCCCACGATGCTCCCTTTGAAGTGAGACGGACACTGATGGGCGTGTCCAGCCCGGCCCTCCCACCACCCATGAGCCCGAACCGGGCGGACTTCTGGCGGCTCCGGCCCTCACCTGGGCGCCAACTCGGCCCAGGGTCTCCCCGCCGTGAGCCGGGCGCCCCGGGTCCCTGGCAGGACGGTGCCGCCGTGGCCCACCCCCGCCCCCCGGCCCGGAGCTCGGACCCCAGGAACGCCGGGGGCGCCGGGCCGGGCGCTGGAGGCGGGGGCGCCGGGCGGGGCCGGGAGGCCGCTGAGTCAGGGCCACCCCCGCGTGGGCGCGCCGAGCAGGTACCCTCGCCGCGGACGACCAGCAGCGCGACCTGCGGGCCCAGGAGCCGCCCTGCCCGGAAAAACCGGTCGGGCCGGCGCGGCGTGAACGCATTCCGGCGGCGGGGGAGGGCGGTTGCCCCGCTTAAAAGGCGCCGCAGCGCTGGCCGCCGCCACTCGGACGCACCGCCCGGCTTCGTGGAGGGGACACGCCGCCGGGACGGCTGGGCTCGCGGGGCTCGGCGGCCGCGGGCGGGCGAGGGGCTGGGTCCGGCGGCCGCGCTCCCCAGGCACGTCGGGGCTCCTCTCTACGGAGCGCGGCGGACGACGATCGCGCGCTGGGTCCAGTGGTTCTTAACAGTTCAACAGTTCTGTAGCGCAATTGTGAAATGTTTAGGACCACTAGACCCGGCGGGCCTGGCGCCGGCGACCACGACGGGGCGCCCCACGCGCGGCCCGGGAGCGTGGACAGGGGCAGGGCCGCGCCGGGACGGCCGAGGAGGAGCCCGCGGACCCGGCGCCGCGCGCCTCATGCCGGCCGTTCCCTGCGCGCCGCGCCCCGCAGACTCCGAGGCCAGTCCCGGGGCCGAAATCCGCAGGAGGCGGCCGGGCGCGGCGGCGCCGAGCGCAGGGGGCGGCCGGGATGGGCTCGGGTGCGGGGCGCGCCAGGCCCACGCTCTTGGCGTGTTGCCAGCGCGGAGACGCCACCACCGCCCGCCTGGGCCCGGGGGGCTCCCACCCTCTCGAAACTCCGCCGGCTTCCCAGCGCGCTCCTCGCCTCCGGCCTCCCCGGAGCTGGTGATGCGGCGGCCGCACCCTCGGGCTGGGGGCAGAGGGTCGTGGGCTCGCAAGGGGAGAGCTGGAGACTGCTTCGCGGGGGACCGTGGCGGGGGCGAGCGCGGGGGCCAATGAGAGCGTGGGGAATGAATGAAGGACCCTGCCGAGGAACTCGGACGCGCTGGGGGGGAAGCTGGGAGCCCGCGCTCCAGATAGATAGGGGTCAGGCCCGCAGGCTCGGTGGGCCGGCCTGCCCGGGCCAGAGCGTCACCCCCGCGGCCGCAGGCTCAGCTCTGCAGTGGGGCGCGAGAGCGCCGCGGGTGATCCCCGGGGGCGAGGGCGCTGGGAGGGGCTCAGGGAAGTGCCGTCCATTCCCACCTCGCGCCAAGGGCGACGCTGCTCCTCCCCAGGATGACTGACCTGCTCCGCAGCCTGACTGGCCCGGGTCTGGCCACACCCTCCGGGGAAGAAAGGCCCCTGCCGCCTGGCCTCCTTGGAGGGGAGACGCCGCCGGGCGGCCTGGCTGCTGGGTCCCGCAGGCCTGGGTTTGAGGCCAGCGGCGCACCGAGCTGCCAGGTAGCTTGCAGGCCAGTCAGGGCTATGAGTCTGGTGGTGGCTGGGGGGCGGGGGACCGGGGAGGCGGTGCAGAGGGAGAGAGTGGGCTGCGAAGGATGCAGCCCCAGCCTGGGCGGTGGACCCCTCAGCGGCCTGGGCAAGGCGGCCGTGTTCCCTGGAGGCGTGTCCACCCGCCAGACGGCACCTTCCCCTTTTTGCCCAGCAGACCTCCGTTGCAGCTGCCGCAGGGCCGGGCTGGGTGTCCCAGGCTCCGAGGGGCCCAGAGGGTTTGAGCCGCGGTCCTGCCGCAGCCCTTGGGCTGCCGGCGCCGCTCTTCGGTGATTTCCTGCCACCGTGTTCCTGGGCCGTCCACGCTGCCCCCCAGCAGCCCAGGGACAGGCCCCCCTGCTGGGGCTCAGGTGAAGGGTCCCGGGGCTTCTCCAGTCTGTGACTGGGAATTATTTGTACAAGATGAACATGTATGTATCGCAGGTTGATGACAATAAACTTTTGTCCTAAAGCGTCCCTGTGTCCTGCTGCCAGCCGTCCTCTCTCCCCCTGGGCTCACTCATGTTGACCTCCCCGTCTTCCATCTGACCCCAGAGGAGTAGGAAGGAGGGCAGTACCCCTGGGCCTGGCTGCCAGCCTCCACTTGGTTCAGGCACTGTGGTCTGCCATCCAGCCCCTCTCTTGGGGGATGGAGAGAAGGGACACATCCTGAAACCTTTGCCCGCTCCCCTGACCCACCTTCTGCTGCCTCAGGGAGCAGGCTGGGGAGAGGACTCGGTCTTGGGGCCCCAGTTTTGGGTGGCTCCATCTGCTTCCAGCTCACCCCATCCTGGCCCCCTGGCTGGCGGCTGCCATGCCCAGCCTGGCCGGGCTCTGGTTCCGGGGAGGGGCGAGCTTGGGGGGCTTAGGGGCTGAAGTGATGGAGGCCCCTCCTCTGCTATCCCCTGCATCCCGGCGCAGGCTGAGAGTCGGCCGTGGGTGTGCCAGCCTGTACCTGGACAGCAAGTCTCAGCCCTGCCGCCCACGAGCAAGGGACCCTGGCATGCCCTCCTCCCCTCAGGGAGCCCATTTCTTCCTCTTGCAGAGGAGGGGGTCCTAGTGCCCACCTTGCAGGGGCTCGCTGGAGCGGCCGCACCCCGAGCGCTGATGCGGGCCAGTTAGACCTCATCCCAGGACCGGTCATACCTGGTTGGGGGGTGGGGCGCTGGGGGAGGGTGCAGGTGGCAGTGGGCTGGTCTCATTGCATACCCCCTCAGCCCCTGGGCTTCCTGGAGGACAGGCAGCCCGCAGGTGGCAGTGGGCTGGTCTCATTGCATACCCCCTCAGCCCCTGGGCTTCCTGGAGGACAGGCAACCCCTCCTCCGTGGCCCTCCCTGCCCCACGCCCGGGCCAGGCCTCTCCTCTGGCTGCTGTCTCTGGTGGGCGGTGCTCAGGGTCCCCAGGACCCATTCTCTTTAGCAGTGGACACCCCTGGCTGCACACGTGGCCCCCGAGCTGCTGGTGGGGGGCTCTGGCCTGCCCCTACTTTTCCCCACTTCAGGTGGGACCAGCCCTCCATGGTGCTGAGCCCACCATGGCCTTGCAGGCAGGACCACCCTGGGCCAGAGCAGAGCATCCTGGACAAGGCTGACCAACCTGTCAGGGTTTTCCAGGGACTGTCCAGTTCTAACGCTGGGAATCTTGTGTTCTGGGAACCCTCTCTGTCCTGGGAAAACTGGGACCTGATCACGCTACCCTGGACCGGCTAGGGGACCTGCCACCCTAGGTCCTTGGACCACATTTCAGCTTGTCTTTTCCACAAGAGAAATTAACCTTCTGTCTTTTTAAAGCTGCAGTTCTTCTGGTCTCTATTAAAGTAGTTAAACAGGTCTTCTCAGTGAGTGGTTCTCCAGGTTATGTGGCTGTCACCAGGAGGGCTGGCAAAGACCACCAGACCAGGCTCAGAGGGGCGGGGTGGGCACCCCCAAGCCCCTAGCCGATCCTGATTCCGGCCCGAGGCTGAGGATCACTGGCTCAAGTGACAGATCTCAGCAAGAGAAAAGAAGTGAGCGGAGACAGACTCCCGAACCTGTGGCTTTGGGCGATGTCCAGAGCCTCTAATCCCCAGGGCAGCAAGAAGCCAGAACCGACACAGCCTGTCAGCCCCTCTGTCCCCAGCGTCCCTACTGCACCAGCAACCTCCTGGGGGCCCCCACCAGGCTAAATGAGTCTAACTCCAAGTGCGTCTGAGGTTGAGAACCGTCGTAGATGGGGAGGGACAGACTCTTCACACCCTTGGTGACTTGGTGAATGCCCACCTGGGAGGACTCGGGGGCCGCTGTGACGGGCTGTCAGAGCACCTGCTGGGGTCCGTAGAGGCTGCGGGGGGCACGGATGGGGCACATGTCCAAGTGAGCTTTCCTCGAGCTCTTCAATTGGGGATCACCCTCTCCTTTACTTTTCCAGTTTTTAGAGCTATACTTAAGGTACAGTAAAACGTACAACAGGTGTTTAAATTGCACAATCTGATGACTTCTGCCATATGCCTACATCCTGTAAACTCTCACCCTTATCAAGATAAGGAGCAGACCTACCACCCAATGGGGTTAGCCTGGCCCTTGGCGATTCTTTCTTCCCTTCCCCAACATCTCTCAGCCTCCTCCCTCACCCCTGCCCTGCTCTGAAGTTTCTCTCTTGGAAGGTTTTCAAATGCAAATGCAGCATCTTTAATGGACATAAGACTATTCAGTTATCTGTTTCTTCTGGAGTGAGTTTTATCAGTTTGTATCTTTCAAGAAATCTGCTTATTTAATCTAAGTGGTCAGATTTTTTGGTGTAAAGTTAGGTGTGACGTTCCATTATTATTCTTTTGGCATCTGTAGAATCTGTAGCAAAGTTCCATCTTCCCTTTGTTTCAATTTTTTTTTTTTAATTTATTTTTTGGCTGTGCCTCGTGGCATGTGAGATCTTAGTTCCCTGACCAGGGATTGAACCCAAGTCCTCTGTAGGGGAAGTTCAGAGTCTTAACCACTGGAACACCAGGGAAACACCCCCCTCACTTCTTAATATTGATGATTTGCGTTCTCTCAGTCTGCTAGAGGTTTGTTGTTTTTATTGATCATCTCAAAGAAGCCATTTTGTCCCATCTTCTATTTGCTTTAGGTTCTGTTTGTTCTGCTTTTCTAGCTTCTTAAGGTGGGATCTATTAGACTGTTTTCAGGATGACCCAAAGCTGTCTGAAGCTCTGTCCATTGTTCAGTCTTATTTTCTCTGTTTCATTTTGGATGGTTTCTGTTTCTAGCTGAATAATTGTCTCTTCTGCAGCGCCCAATTGCTCGTAACTCCACCAGTGTAATTGTCATCCTAGTTAGTTCTGTCACTCAGTCGTGTCTGACTCTTTGCGACCCCATCAACTGCAGCACGCCAGGTTTCCCTGTCCATCACCAACTCCTAGAGCTTACTCAAACTCATGTCCGTTGAATCAGTGATACCATCCAACCAGCTCATCCTCTGTTGTCCCCTTCTCCTCCTGCCCTCAATCTTTCCCAGCATCAGGGTCTTTTCCAGGGAATCAGTTCTTCGCATCAGGTGGCCAAAGTGTTGGAGCTTCAGCTTCAGCATCAGCCCTTCCAATGAACACCCAGGACTGATCTCCTTTAGGATGGACTGGTTGGATCTCTTTGCAGTCCAAGGGACTCTCAAGAGTCTCCTCCAACACCACAGTTCAACAGCATCAGTTCTTCAGCGCTCAGGTTTCTTTATAGCTCAACTCTCACATCCATACATGACTATTGGAAAAACCACAGCTTTGATAAGATGGACCTTCGTTGGCAAAGTAATGTCTCTGCTTTTTAATGCTTGTTATCCTGGACGTTACATTTTCCATCTGTGAAGTTTGATGGGGTCTGTTTAATAGTGTGCATATTGCTGCTTGATGCATTCAAGCATTCCTAGATCTTCTTGAACATATTGAAATGGAGTTACAAAAATAGTTTTAATGTTCTTGTCAACTGATTTTATCATCTACATCATTTCTGGGTCTGTTTCTTTGTGTGTGTGTGAGATATTTATTGGGCTTCCCTGGTGACTCAGATGGGAAAGAATCTGCCTGCAATGCTGGAGATGTATTTATTGAAGTAAGTTGGTTTACAATATTGTGTTAGTTTCAGTTGCACAGCAAAGTGATTCAGTTTATATATATATATATATATATATATATATATATATATATTCTTTTTCAGATTCATTTGCATTATGTATAGGTTATTACAAGAGATATTAAATATAGTCACCTGCATCATACAGTGAATCCTGGTGGCTTTTCTATTTTATATAGAATGTGTCTGTTAATCCCAAACTTCTAATTTATCCCCACTTTCTCTTTTGCTGACCATAAATTAGTTTTCCATGTCTGTGGGTCTGTTTCTGCTTTTTCTAAATAAGTTAATTTGTATTTTTTTAAGATTTAAAATTTTAGACACCACTTTTAAGTGATATCATGCAATATTTATCTTTCTCTGACTGACTCCACTGAGTGTGATAATCTCTAGGCCCATCTATGTTGCTGCAAACGCCAGTCGTTCATTCTTCTTTATGGCTGAGCAATATGCCTTTTGCCCAGGAGGGGCATATGTGATCATATGATATCGGGTTGGCCAAAAAGTTTCAAGTTTGTTTGTAAGATGTTACAGAAAAACCAAAACTTTTTGGCCAACCCGATAGCTTTTTTAGTTTTTTAAAGGAACTGCATAGCAGCTGCATCGGTTTCTGTTCCCACCGATGATGTAGGAGGGTTCTCTGGGCCTGTTTCTACTGACTGATTTTTCTCCTCATTTTGTAATTTTCTATTTCTTTCTATGCCTGGTCATTTTTGATTGGCTGCCAAACATTGTGGCCTTAACGGTTGGGTGCTGGATAGATTTGTAACTTACAAACATTGTGAGCCTTGCTCTGGGATGGAGCTGAGCTACTAGCAGAGAGTTTGATTCTTCGAGTGTTGCTTTTAGTTCTGTTAGGCTGGATCTGTTAAACGCTGATCCTCTCTCCCCAGCAGCTCCTGTGAGTCCTCTATTGCCTGTCTTGCAAATCACTGAGGCTGTTCCTTCTGCTTGGTGGGAACACACACCATTCCCAGCATATTTAAAAGACTTTTTTTTTAAAATTATGGGAAAATGTAAAATACATAAAATTTGTTCTTGTCACCATTTTAAAAGATACAGCTCTGTGGCATCAAGTACACGCACGTGACTGTGGAGCCATCAGTGTCATCCGTCTCCAGAACTTTCTCACCCTGTGAAGCGGAGACTCTGTCTCCATCAGACAGCAGTGTGCCGTCTCCCCTCCTCCCAGCCCTC